CAGCCAGCTGTCAACCAGTACCCCCAGGTCTTTTTCCACCAGGCAGCTTTCCAGCCACTCTTCCCTGAGCCTGTAGCGCTGCGTGGGGTTGTTGTGACCAAAGTGCAGGACCCGGCCCTTGGCCTTGTTGAACCTCATACAGTTGGCCTCGGCCCATCAATCGATTCAATGCCATACAGTATCATGCTCAGCAATAAAAGCTGGGGGGGCGGAGGGGAACAGGAAGAAGGGACATTTTTGGTTGTAATGTTTGTCTTCCCAAGTAACCACTATGCATGATGAAGCCCGCATTCCTGGGAATGGCTAAGCATCTGCCTGATGATGGGAAGCAATAAGTGAATTCCTTATTTTGCTTTGGTTGCACATACTGCTTTGCTTCAGTTATTAAACCGCGTATCTCAATCCACAAGTTTTTCTCCCTTTCACTCTTCCAATTCTTTCCCCCGGTTCCACTGGGGAGAAGCAAGCGAGTGGCTGGCTGGGGGGTTCGCTGCTGCCCTGGGGTCAACCCACCTCAGTGACCTAATAACAAAGGGTTGGTTTTCAGCCAAATCATTTCTTACCCAGATCCGACTTGTCCTGGAGCTGCAAAATGCCTACTATTTCTGCGACCGCCTTTGCACAACTAAATATCTGCTTTTGGCAGCGGCACAGACTTGAATCAAGTTAAAGTCACCATTACAACCTTGGGGCACATCTGTACTTTGGGCTACAGCACAGCCTATAGATACACAAGCTCACAGCAAACACAAGATAGATTCACACAAACAGCCTAGGTAGAACACCATGAGTTTCTCTGTGGGACAATTTGTCTCAAATAGTGGAATGACTTTAGGAATTCACTTTTTTCATTATTCCAACTTTACTTTCCACTTCCCTTTCATGAGATGTTTGGGTGGAAAACAATGCAGATGCAGAGTAGTGCTTGCAGTCGTTGCGTAAGCAAGCCTTAATGAGAGATCTTAAGGTGGTAAACAGTAGGACAAGGCACAGCACAGCATGCTGCATACTCTACACATAGGAAACAGCATACAAAAAAAGAGCATGAAAAGAAGATCGTTCTTTGGGAAAGTGTTTGTTAGCCAACCCGTACCTAAGCGCTGAATACTACGCACATTCAGCTATGACTTTCCATCCAAAATTCACAGTTTCATGTAAGCATCCTGAGGAAATTGGCAGTCTGAGGCTCAACGCCCCATGAGTTAATTATCTGAGTTGAGGATTATCTGAATGACTGTTACACGAGTTGGTCCCAAACACTAGAGTCACGCTTACCCACCATGGACCCCAAGTTCATAAGCACTGCCCAGACTTGACAGGTTTAGGCAGGATTGGCCTGGCTGTCCACACACTGCATTCCCAGCCCAAGAAAGCTCGCAGCTGCTCAGGACTGAGCCAGCCTGTGCTCTCCCAACCTTCTTACATTGCATTCAGCACTGACCCTGCCAAACACTGCAGTGGAAGCAGCTACCGCACCAAAACAAGGACAGGACGGGAGGAGGTGACAGGAGGTGTCCCTGCATCATGCCTCGGACAACTGCGGGAGGACTGACGAGATGGGGCACAGCACAGAAGCCAGCTCAGGACCAGCAGCGGCCAATGCATCCCATTAGCAGGCAGAGCGCTGGGAAAGAGCACCAAAAAGGCACCAAAGGAGGTTTAACACCACTCATCGCCGTAGCTAGACCCTGTACGTTGTACTCCTTGGAACAGCCCAAATTATCCAGGATTTTCCTTGATACCATTGTCACACCCCACACCACTTACAGAGGTTGAGTTGAATGGGTTGAACGTAGCAGAGGACACAGAAAAAAAAGAAAAAATGCAATAAAGGGTATAAATGGGTAAATTTGAAACATGTGTAAATTCTGTTAGTCCCATGCCATCACTTCTGAAGCATGAAGACGTAACTGTGTGACCACAGCTGTGGCCATTACTGGGATATGGCTTACTTCTTTGGATTACATGAGCTGCATGGGGAAAAAGAAAAAAATAAGATTACTGATTAACATTTGAGACCCAGATAATACTTACTAATTTATTCTGGGACTACAGTCAGGTCTAAGATTAAGTCAGCACAGCTAGTGCTGGCTGGCAACATGGAAGACATTAAGGAAAACATACTCATTATTAGCATAAGGCTTGTCTTCATGTAAAACAGCAAAAGTAAAAAAAATACTCATGCAGAGAAACATCATAGATCTTGAGTATCTATGAACTCTGGCAAGGGAAAAAAAATTAGCAAAACACCATATTTATGTTAAAAAATAACACATATTCCATCACCTATAACTGTCTCTTAAAGGTAAAAACAAAACAGCTTAAGCAAAAGACCCTTCTCTTGTAACAGATGTTCTAAAATTAACTACACACAAAACATGTTGGTACCCAATCAATTAATATACACCCAACCTTTATGGTTAGAAATTAAGAACATAAGTCACAAATAATTTCCACACTTTGTAAAATTAAATAAAAAGCAAAGCACTTAAGTTAGCATAGAACATAAACGGAAATACTTGCTGCAGCCCACCCCACCTCGCAAGAGATGTCATGGCAGGAGCATAACGTACTTACAGTGTAGTCACCAGTAACACGTGCGTTGCTGTTGCTTTCCAAAAAATGGCTATCAACCCTGAAAGTAAGTTTTCGCCTCAAACACTACCCCATGACATCCTCCCCACCCACCTACCACGCGATTTATGGTTTCAACCAGCTCTCCGGCCACATACACACTTTCAGCAAATTAACTTTTATGATTGCAAGCTTCACCCAGTTCATTCACTGCAGGAAGAGTTCTGATGTTTGCTGACATGCACAGTGAACTTACTCGGGATCATGGGGCGGGCCGGTCATCCTGACGTTGGCATAAACCAGTGTAAGTTTATGCTTTTGACAGTAATGGTTGATCTTCTCCATACACTCACGTTCCATTCTGATACAATCTCAGAAAGGTTCTGCAAAGCAACATTCGAAGGTATGTCTGTGCCTCTCAGGCACAGTACAGAGGCAGGCCCTAATCCTGGCAGACCACTGCTATCACATAAAATACAAAACCGGTGCCGATAACATAAAGTTCACGAAAAGCTAATTCCGATTTCTAATTCTGGTTGATCTGCAACTGTTTTGGAAGATTCCAAACAGGTAACAGATTCGGAAAGAAGAGCAGAGAATTTAATGACTACAGCAGCTCTCTTAGCAGCTTTCTTTGCAAGGAAAAGGCTGAATCATTCCCCAAATCTTGTGAAAACGGGTAAGGTTTCCCCAGCCAGAATCAGAACGAAAAGCTAATTCCGATTTCTAATTCTGGTTGATCTGCAACTGTTTTGGAAGATTCCAAACAGGTAACAGATTCGGAAAGAAGAGCAGAGAATTTAATGACTACAGCAGCTCTCTTAGCAGCTTTCTTTGCAAGGAAAAGGCTGAATCATTCCCCAAATCTTGTGAAAACGGGTAAGGTTTCCCCAGCCAGAATCAGAACCGGCTCCTCCAGCGGGGAAGCGAGAAGGTCGCAGCGATAGCCTCTCCGACCGCGGCGACGGCCGGGCTCA